ATAATCCAGGAAGTTTAAGCCACTACAACATGACATGCATAGATCATAAGACTGGGAATTGAGTCAACTTATACATCAAATAATCATGTTTTTGGCATGGCAAAAATGACATTTAAGATAGTGGCTATTCTGTATCACCTTGGGGACATAACTATTGATAAGACAACTTGTCAACCCACAGTGGACAGGTAGCACAAGTTAGCATTAAGAAGTGGCACTTAGGTGAGAGGTATATACTTTTTGTACACATACCACAGCATGACATTGAAGAGTAGAAAATTATAATCATCATAATATAACTGCAACAGGCTCTACAAAGCCTTTCCAAGTCCTCTCATGTAATCCCCACAGAAACCCTGTTGTGTCTATGTTGTGGGTGTTTTCTTAGGTTTTGGCCTTCTCTCAGTGATACTTGGAAAACAAATAATTGAGGAAGATGGGGAGGAGGAGATTGGATACATTTCTTTATGCTGAAGTTTGCTATTCAATTATAATTATAACACATTTGTTTTACCAGCCCAGCATCCCTCGATTTCTTTTAGGGAAGCAGCCCTTCCTCACTGCAGTGTAAATTGTTTGAGTGGGATGGACTTCACCCTCCCCTACTCCAGGGTTTTCCATGGAGTCACGCTTGGTCACTGAAAGAACACTAATTCAAGGCAGCAAATGGTTCAGTGATCAGCATGACTCAAGCAAAGCTGAGAAGTAGCCTTGGTGGTTTTGCTAGAACTACTTATAAAGAGGTATTCTCCTTGATATTGCAAATGCTAAGAACCATACTAACCTGCTATTGCCAGTAAATAGATTTATCATCACTGGAGCAAAGTGATGAAAGTATAGCTAATATGGAGGAAACCAGAGCAGAGATGGAGGTGAACAGTCCTTGATCTAGCAATGCCTGAGTGTCTGGTCTCAGCCCTTAGGTTCCTCAGATATGTGAACTTTTCTGACATAATGATAATGTGTTATGTGAACTGGTGGGAGTGAGGTATGCACATTTTATGTACAGTCAACTCAATGAAAGGGCAGATTATCTGATTTATGGATGAATAGAGGTTTTAAAATAACAGAGGTTACACTGTGGAAAATGTAAAGAACAATTCAATGGGAAAAAAATCTGTTTTTTGAGGACATTAATTGGAACTATAAGGTAATCCATAGATGTCACATTATACACAGAACACCCTTTCATCTCACCAATAGTACTTATGGTGAGGGACAGCTCATTTAGCTCTGGACCCCAAGACTGCTCAGTTGGGGACTAGAGAAGAGGCACAGAAAGGGAGAAAGCAGAGACAGTTTCCAACCTGAGTCCTGTTGTTTTGTTTGTTTTTAAGTGAAAACTCCTCTGAGATAAAACAATTTTGAGAATTTTACTAGATAATTGAACTAGTTAATTACCAACAACTTGAATAATGTTTGGTATTCTTACACTTTTATACTTTTGGGACAGTATTACATTGTCCTCTTAAAAGCTACATGTAATTTAAAATTTACACGAAGTCATTATTTTACCCTATCTTGCCTAGCTTTAGCTGTACGTTTTACATGCAATTCATTCATTCCTCCTTTTCCCCCCATCATGCCCCCTAAGTGAGTGGTGCCAGTACTTGGCCTAAGAACTCTTTAACAGAAACATGCTTCCTCCACTCCTCAACCTTCTTGCATATGTGGGCTGTGGAGGGCACTCTCCAATCTATGTCCCCAGAAGTTATAAAGCCCAGGTGAACAATTAGAAATGTGATTGGTTTTCCCAATGATATGAGTACATTTTGTGGTTGATCTTTCTTTATTTCTTAAAACATGCTTAAATTAGGAGACTCTAAAAACAATTTACAAAAATTTCTGACAATAAATATATAAACATCTTTATTGACAGTGGGCCAATAAGGGCAGTCAAATTTAGTTTATAAGTAACAAAAACATTCGAAAATCAGACTGCTAAAACTTCCAAGGTCATGTCAAGGTATAAACACAGTCAGAATGAACACCAGGTATAAAAAGAACAAATACCAAAACGTAAAGGGCTGGAGTTCTCAGTAAAACTAACAGATCCTTTAACACCACTTAAACTGCAATTAGATTACAAACTTGAGTCTCTGGAAATATCAGATAGCAGATTCCTCAAGGCCTAAAGGAGAGTGTGGATATAGCAGCAGAGAGAAACACGAGTAGAAAGTGAAGCCCCTTCTCTTTCATGAGCTGATAGTCAAATGCTCATAGTTCTTAACCAGTAAATAAAAGGGGTGAAAGATACACTCATTCTTAATTTGTACTGATGAATTCTTAGCTATTTGCTATAGATTGAATGTTTGTGTCCCCTGCAAATTCAAGTTGAAACCTAAACTTAATGTGATGGTATTAGGAGGTGGGGCCCTTAAAAGGTGATTAGGTCATGATGGCAGAACTCTCACAATGAGGTCAGTAACCTTATAAAAGAGGTCCCTGAGCACCCTTGCCCTTTCACATCAGGCACCGAATCTGCTGGGGCCTTGATCTTGGACTTTCTAGTCTCCAGAACTGTGATAATGTTGAATGTGGTATATAAGCCACTCAGGTCTATGATAGTTATAGCAGCTAAAATGGACTAAAATACCACTTCATTAAAATGTATATGTGTATACACACATGGAGAGGAAGTGAGGGGGAGAGAAACAGAAAGAGAGGAGAGAAAGAGAGAATGGAAGACTTAGATTCTATATAATGAGACTCTACATAATTTATTGTTCCAGGACCTTTACTTACATTGTCATATTTAATCCTCACAACAACCTTATGAGAGAGGGATGATTGATCTCGTTTGCTGATTAAAAAAAAAAAAGACTAAGAGAGTAAGTAGCTTTTCAAGGTCACATAATTGCTAAGTGAAGATGGAAGAATTAAAACCCAGCTTTGAGAAGTCCATGTTAATGTTATTTTATTAGTCAAATTTTGGCCCCCAAATGATGCATTTATTTTTCATTCAAGCATTTGGCATATTGAGAAATAGCAAGTATTTCAGGCTTTTCAGGACATACACTCTGCTGCAACTACTCAACTCTGCCATTATAATATAAAACAGCCAAATGCAACAAAAAAAGAGTGTGGCTGAATTCCAATTAAACATTACTTACAGAAATAGTAGTACTTGGTCTAGGGGTCCTGGTTACAGTTTGTTGATCGCTGCTTTACACCAATGTTGAATATTAAGGTGATGAAAGTGTTGAACTCCCTTTCCTTTGTTTGTCAGCCTTTCTCCTACCCTGACCTCTGAGACCTTGAGCCTTCCCTTGCCCTGGCCAGTTTGGCTCAGCGGTTAGAGCGTCGGCTTGCGGTCCGGAGCCTTCCAACCACCTTGACCCCTTTCAATGTTTTAAAAAATTCAAATCAATCCATCATTCATGATCTTGCTCTTAACTACCACTTTTTAAAACTTTATTCTTCTGCCCGGCTGGTGTGGTTCAGTGGTTGAGCACCAACTCATGCACCAAGTGGTCACTGGTTCGATTCCTGGTCAGGGCACATACCCAGGATGTGGGCCTGATCCCCAGTGGGGGCCTGCAGGAGGTGGCCAATCAATGTTCTTGCTCATTGATGTTTCTCTCTCTCTCTGAAATCAATAAAGACAAAATACTTTTTTAAAATAAAACTTTATTCTTCTAACTTTTCTTTAATAATAGAAATAAAGTCTACAGAGAGGAAATTATAAGTCACAGGTATAATTTGGAAGGGGCAAAACATGGACTGGTGCTAAAAGTTCATAAAAGAATTTACAAGAGAAGAAATCTAAACTACCTTTTCCTCTACTTTTTCTATAACCTTTCTATATAATATGTAATAACCAAAAAACCTGACATTTGTGTGTTTTGCTAAATATTTATTTAAATGTTCACTTTTGTGTTCCTAATCCCATTACTTGTCTTTGGTCACCCATGTAAGTATGTCAATATATCATGTGGTCTCATGCCTTTCAACCTTCTTTAGGGCTCTGCAATATAGCAAAGACTAACCAACATATAGAGAGAACAAAAACAAAAAATGTGAGTAAACATGAAGGTCAGAGAAATGGCAACTTCTTCTAGAGGGAAGCTGTTTATCCTCAAATGAGTCACTGTCTTGTGAGCTATTTTCCATATCTGACAGGAAGGTATGTCCTTGTGTCTCATTGTTGCTTCAGTTGTTTTTCTGACTGGAATCCTAAATATGATAACACATTGAATCCATCAACTTTTCAGATCCTGAACATCACAGTGGCTTTTTCTAAAGTGAGAAAGCAGAATAACGTAAAGAAATGAAATCTCCCTAATACTGTAATTATAGAAAACTGAGGAATCGTTCAATGACTGCCAAGGATAAAAAAAGAGAAACTTGATCAAAGACTCGAGTTAAGATTTTTACCCATAATACACTTAAGGGTAATTTCCAAGAAAGTAGAAAATTCAGTTCCACACAGCAGAAGGATCACAATTATCTAAATCTACCACCAGCATAATCCATGTGAGCATAACTTAGAACCTGCTGGAAATACATCATATCTATGATCATAAAATCTGAGAGTAGTCTTTGGGGGGAAGTTGAAAGCGTATTTCAACTCAACTTTTAACTTTTTATTACTAATACAAAAAAATGACATTGTAGAAATGATACTCTCTATAAATCTGGATCTCTATTTTGGATTCAAAGAGGAACAATTCTATGTCTTTCTGATGATAAGGAACTCTCTGTCTAACCTAAAAAAAACTTCCTTATAAAGTGAAAAGCTATGTCCTGGCTGGTTTGGCTCAGCAGTTGGAGGACTGGCCTGTGGTCCAGAGAGACCCAGGTTTGGTTCCCACTAGGGACATGTACCTTGGGTGCCCCTGGCCCTGGATGGGTCATGTGGGTGGCAGCCACTCGATGTGTTCCTTTCACATTAATGTTTCTCTCTCTCTCCCCCTCTCCCTCTCTCTCCTTCCCACTCTATCTGAACAAGAAATAGAGGAATGTCCTTGTGTGAGGATTAAAAATAATAATAAAAAAATAAAATAAAGTAAAAAGCTGTAACAGGGATATGATGTGAAAAAGAGGGAGAAACTGGACTCTACAATGATTATATTGCTACCCATTTGTAAAGATTTATTGAATATCCACAAAAGGATATTGGGAGGGGTTAAGGATCAAAATCTGAGATCTCTGGCTAGTAGCTTTCATAATTATCAAAACAATGGACATATGGAACATTTTGTTTATGGCTCAAAAATGTACTATGCAAGTAAAATCAGATGTATACAAAATTGGTCCTTAAGCAGCATTTTAAGGGTCTTCCACTTAAACACTCTTGTATTTAACACAGTGACAAACCCAAGTTACATTTCTTCACATTTAGTAATTTTTCAGGGTTGCTCTTCTGTATGAATTCTTTGATGTCTGATGAGGGATGAACTGCACTTAAAGCTTTTCCCACATTCGCTGCATCTATAGGGTTTCTCTCCAGTATGAGTTCTCTGGTGTTGAATAAGAGCTGATGAATGAATAAAGGCTTTCCCACATTCATTACATTTATATGGTTTTTTTCCAATATGAATTCTTTGATGTTTAGCAAAATTTGAACTCCGGCTGAAGGTTTTTCCACATTCATTACACTCATAGGGTTTTTCTCCAGTATGAATTCTTTGATGCTGAACAAGATGTGTGCTCTGACTAAAGGTTTTTCCACACTCACTACATTCATATGGCTTTTCTCCAGTATGAACTCGCTGATGTTTAGTAAGGGATGAACAATGGCTAAAAGCTTTCCCACATTCCTGACATTTATAGGGTTTCTCTCCAGTGTGAGTTCTTTGATGTTTGATGAGTGCTGAAGAATGAATGAAAGCTTTATCACATTCATTACATTCATAAGGCTTCACTCCAGTATGAATCAACTGATGCTGTACAAGATGTGTACTTCGATTAAATCCTTTCCCACATTCACTACACTCATAAGGTCTCTCTCCAATGTGAATTCTCTGATGTATTGCAAGGGATGAGCTTTCTGTAAAGGCTTTCTTGCATTCACTGCACTCAAAGAGAATTCTAGTATGAGTTCTCTGATGTTTAGTTAAATTAGCTCTGTGGCTAAAAGATTTCCCACATTCATTGCAGCTATAGGGTTTCTCTCCAGTATGGACTCTCTGGTGTCGAATAAGCACTGAATGGTAAGTGAAGAGTTCACCACAATCGTTACATTTGTGAGGTTTTTTCTCTTTATAAGTTCTCTGCTTTTTCCTTAAGTTTGATTTCTGTTTCAATCTTTTTTCAAGTGTATGAAAGGCATAGTATCCTTTTGGAACTCTGTCTTGAGTGAGAAGGACAGACTTCTGACTTAAGTTTTTCCAACATACATCATGCTCATGAGCTCTTTCTTCAGGGAGTGAATTCCTGTAGGTGAACATTTCTCTCAAGTGTCTCCCTTGATTTCCATGATGGTTCTCTAACAAATTTTCACATTCAACAGTTGTTTCCAAGTTGGTATCATAGGCACTAGTCCCTGTCAGTCTGTCTATTATTGCAACCTGGCATGATTCTTCTTTGGAAAAATCTTGTACTGAAGTTGAATCTTTGCTCTCAAGTCTACTCTCCAAGTCTAAAAAAAAAAATTGGAAAAGCAAATTTACTTCATTTTCTGTGCTCAACAAAAAGGAAGTTTTGTAATAGGTAAGAATTAACGAAGGCAAAAAGCATGCTTTAATAAATGTATTTGACTCATGAGATGATTTGCAAAGAGAGGAATATGGAGGGAGATGCAGACTGTATACAGAGAAAATGAATAGGCCATATCCAGAAGAGTCAATGAGGAAAAGACCAGAAATAAAGAAGGAGGTGTGCAGATGAAGCAATCTATCACTGTGTAAGCAGGAAATGAGCATCCTAAAATACTACTACTGTAATAAATACCCAAGCAGTTATCACTTTAGTGTTACAACTTCTAAATTTTCAGTCATCCAATCCTACTCACATGCAAATATGCATCCCACTTCCAGTTTACTATTCCCTACAATACTTTCATAACAGACCCCTGATCAAAAATCTCTTATGAGCTCCCAAAGATATAATGGCAACTATATGAAATTATATATGCACAAGACTATTCATTACCACATTAATTAAAGTAGAAAAACTGGTAACATACCAAATATCCTACTATAGAGAACTGATTAAATAAATGATGGTGTATACATACAATGGAGCACTATGCAACTTTAAAAAAATAAGATCTCTACATATTGCCAAAAAGTAATCTTCAGGATATATTAAATTAAAAAATCCCAGCAATTGAAAATTGGTGTGTATAGTCTGCTACTTTTGTGCAGAGAAAAAAGGTGGGATAACAAATATATAGACATATTTGGTTATATTTTCCAAAACCAAGGACAGATAAATAAAATACCAATAAAAATGTTTACCTATATGGACAGTAACAGAGGAGGGCAAGGATGGAAGCTAGACTTCTCTAAATATAGCTAATATAAAGATACTAGAATGTTTAGAACCAATATAAAACTATAAAGCTAAAACAACTAAGGAGAGTGGGTTAAAGGAATATCTAGATTGATAAAACAGAACAGCAAATTCAGAAATAAATTCTATGTATAGGAATCAAGAAAATATAAAGGCATTGTACAACTCAGAAAAGAGTGTGACCAGGACATTTTCAATCAAGTTTAAGAGAGAGAAGCTGAGATTCTAAAAAGGCGGTGGAGTGAATGGAAGCTACACAGACTATCTCCCAGGACCAACTGGAATTACAACTAGAATAAAGACAAACCATCAGGAAAAACAACAGAGAAACAGCTGGAGAGAACCCATATAACCAGGAACTGAAAGAGGACACCAAATCAAGCCTGGCAGAAACTGTGGAGGTAAAGAGGGTGGGCTAGGAGCCCAAGGACAACAGCTATTTTAGCTGAAAGCAGTTCCCTCGGGGTTAAAATCCCAAACTGGCTCCACAGCGCAGAGAGCTGGGACAGATCACTAAATTAGCTACAGCCACTTCACCTTGAGCTGTGGCAGAGGGAGTGCAGACTGGACTGGAACCATGTGGAGAGACTCAGGAGTTTTGAGAGCTGGGAGGGCACTAGGAGTTCTGTACTGAACTTCTGATCACTCCCTCATAGGACAGAAGCCATATTACTCAAAGAGCCCCTTCCCAGAGTGCCTGGGAGAAGCAACAGCCCCTCACTTAGAAATTTAACAACATCCAACCAGGCCACAGAAATGTAAACTGAGGCTGATGAACCACTAGAGACAGCCAACAAGCATCTGCCTACCCACTGAAAATCCACTTACCCTGAGCACCTGAGGGATTTTTTCCTTCAGCTGAGGACTGCAACCCAAGGCTCATCAAGTAACTGAGACTGATAGCTAGCAAGAGACCAAAAGCAAGAGAAAAACTGAACTTTGATTGGCATGAAAATCTACCCAGGATAGTAAGACTTACCAGCGGTATTAACACGGGTCCCCCAACAATCAACCAAACCCAGTAGAGGGAGCCACAATCAGAAGAATATCAGCATCCACAGAAAAAATTTCAGTCTCCAAAACCAAACGATATAGCCAAAATGGTAAAACAAAAAAACAAATCCCAAATGAAAGAAAAAGAGAATTCAACAGAAGATGAGATAAATGAAAGGCAGTTAAGCAAGTTATCGGAGGTAGAGTTCAGAGTAATGATAACGAGGAACCTCAATAGCATGAGTAAAGAGCTCAACAACATGAGTAAAAATATAGAAACACTGAAAATCAACCAACTAGAAATGTAAAAGCATCAAGCAGATATGAAGAATGACATGGAAAAAATAAAGACATTGGAAGGAATAACCAGTAGAGTAGAGAAAGCTGAGGATTGGATCAGTTAATTAGAAGAGAGAAAATCACCCAATCAGTGAATCAAAAAGAAAGAAACAATTAAAAAAGAGAAAGACAGCTTAAGAGAACTGTGGGACAACATAAAAAGTAACAACATCTACATCATAGGAGGTCCAGAAAATGAAAAAGAAAATAAGCAAGGGTTAGAGAATATATTTGAAGAAATAGTGACAGAAAACTTCCCTAATTTGGTGAAGAAAAAAGGCATATGAAGTTCAAGTACAGAGAACCCCAAGTCAGAAGAACCCAATCAGGGCCAAACCAAGACACATAATAATTAAAATGCCAAAAATTAAACACAAAGAGAGAATCCTAAAGGCAGCAAGAGTAAGCAACAGGTTACCTACAAAGGAATCCGCCATAACGCTATCAGCTGACTTCTCAAAAACAACAATACAGATCAGAAGGGAATGGCATGAAGTAATTAAGGTAATAAAAAACAAGGATCTAAATCCAAGACTACTCTATCAAGCAAGGCTATTATTATTAAAAATGAAGGTGAAATAAAGTGCTTCCCAGACAAAAAAAGGCAAAGGGAATACGTCAGCACCAAACCAGCACTGCGAGAATTGTTAAAAGGACTGTTGTAATAAGCAGAAGAACTAGGAAGAGAAACATAACCATAATGACCAAAAATGGCAATAAATAAATACATATGATAATAACCTTAAATGTAAATGGATGGAATGCTCCTATAAAAAGACAGAGTAGCTGATTGGATAAGAAAGCATGACTCATCTATATGTTGTTTACAAGAAACCCACCTCACAACAAAAGACTCACATACATTGAAAGTGAAGGGAGAAAAAAATCTTCCAAGAAAATGGAAAGGAAAAAAGGCCTGGAGTAGCCATAATCATATCTGATAAAATAAACTTCAAAATGTAGGCCATAACTAAAGACAAAGAAGATCATTACAAAATATTGAAAGGACCTAGCCAAGAGGAAGATTTAACCTTGGTAAACATATATGCACCCAATATAGGAACATCAAAATACATTTAAAAACTTCTGAAGAATTTCAGAGGAGAAATCAACAGCAATACAATCATAGCAGGGGACTTCAATGCCCTGCTGGCATCACTGGATAGATCCTCTAGACAAAAAATAACAAGGAAATAGAGACTCTAAATGATGCACTTGATCAAATGAATTTAATAGATATCTACAGAGAAGTACACCACAAAACTGCAGAAATCACATTCTTCTCAAGTGCACATGGGACATTCTCAAAGACAGACCACATGTAAGGACACAAACTAAGTCTCTAAAAAATCAAGAAGATTAAAATCATATAAAGCACCCACAGGACCTGTGGTGTGCTGAAGCACCAGAGAGGCCTGGGCAACCCACCAGAGACTGTGCGATCTAGTTACCCCTAGGACCTGCAGGGTGCTGAAACATCAGAGAGGCCTATGTGACCCAGCACGAACTGTGCCATCCAGTTACCCAAGGGACCTGCAGGGTGCTGAAGCATCAGAGAGGCCCTTGTGACTCAGCACAGACTTCACAATCTAGTTACCCGCAGGACTGTGGGGTGCTGAAGCACCAAACAAGCCTATGTGACCAAGTAGCCCATAACATAGGCATAGAGCCGGGTCCCCAAAAGGACAGTGCGATCCAGTTACCTGTGGGAACTGCAGGGTGCTGTGACACTGGGAAGGCCTGTGTGACCCAGCTGCGCACAAGATAGGCATAGAGGATATGAAAATGAAGGCAGAATGAATAGAAGCTACGTGACGATCTCCCAGGACCAAATGGGAAGTGCAACTAAAATAAGGACAAATCCTCAGAAAAAAGCAACAGAAAAGCAGCAGGACAGGACGATATAACCAGGGATACTGGTAGGATCTGTGGATAGGCGAGAGGGTGGTGGGCTGGGAGCCCACGGACAGCATAACTCATAGCTGTGAGCAGTGCCCTTGGGGAATAAAGACCAAGCCAGCTCCACAGGCCAGAGAGCCAGAAAAGAGTGCTAAAATAGCCAAAGCCACTCACCTGGTGGCTACGACACAGGGAGGGCAGACTGGGCTGGAACTCTGTGGGGACACCCAGGATCTGGAGGGCACTCAGAGTTTTTGCTGAGTTGCGGACACAAAAGACTGTGGCCAATGTGCTACTTACCAGAGCTGTAGGGAAAAACACCCCCCCCCCCATTCAGACTTTCCCAAGTGAGGCCAAGAAATGCAAACTGAGGCTCATTAACAACCAGCATCTATCCCGCCCTATGGAAATCCTCTTATGCAGAACACCAGGGCTACATTCCAAGGCACTGAGAAACTGAGACTACTAGCTACCAGGAAAAAGCTAAAAGATAACCGAACCTTTCCTGGGCTTGCAAATCTACCCAGGAAAGTAAGACTTGACGGTGCTGTTTAACGTGGGCCAACTCAGGCTCATCCAAACCCAGTAGAGGGAGCCACAAACAGGAGAACACCAACACCCACAGGGAAAATTAGGTAGGCTCCAAAACCCACTGAGATAGCCAAAATGGTGAAACAAAGAAACAAATCCCAATTGAAAGAACAAGAGAACTCTATCAAGAATGAGATCAATGAAATGCGCTAAGTAAATTATCAGAGGTAGAGTTCAGAGCCATGATCTTCAGGAAGCTCAACAGCATGAATAGGGAATCAGCACCATGAGTAAACATACAGAAACAACGAAAACCAACCAAGTGGAAATGAAGAATGACATAGCAGAAATTAAGAACACATT